ACGTTCAAGCTCCAAATTTATTGTGAGCTGAGAAACAACCTTGCACAGAGGCGCAATACCAGTGATTACAAGTATGTTGGCATTTTTGAGAGGCAGAGACCTCATCCTCGATGCTTGATTCCCACTATCTTTAATGTTTAATTTAGGAAAGGAAAGTACGATGTGGCATATAATGTCACATTTCATGCATATAATGTTACACATTAACATACTGAACAACAAAAATATTTAAGATAATCAGTTTTAATATAGTTGCTATAAAAATAAGATTATACAGCAATATTATCCTAGTTAACTGAAGTTTTGTGGAATGCTTAGGATGAGATATTTATAGCATGGTTTGCCTCTGAAATGTGACAAGTACTGGGACATGCACTTGTTGCTAGATTACTTTCCTTTGAAATTTTTTCAACTTTACGATAGCTTTCCTAACTGCTAATCCTTGCAAATCACAATGAGGCTTTAATGCCAATTTTTTTTTCTTTTTTCATCTGCACAACTTTGTTAAAGATTCTGCAACGCCATAAAAACTATTCTTGAGGAGTTATATATCTGAACATACTAATGTGACAGGAAAAATAATTAAAAAATCTGAAATGAGTGAAGTTGTACGAGAAGCACTGTAAAAATGCTGGAGTTAGAAAAATCTAGATTTCTCTCACATAGAGATGTTATTTTAGGAGAAAAACACTTTTCTCTCAAACTACAGTCAACGCTGAAGCATGACTCTAAACGACTCAATAAGCATGAGAAATGTTTCCTATTGAACCTAATGAACCTATACCTTATTTTTTTATCATCACATTTTTGAATGAATACTTGGTTTTAGTACAATTCCTCCATTTTTTCCTAAATGTTTTATCCACACTGACTCCACTTACGTGTTCCTCTGTATGGGATGTAACCAAAACAATATGGACATAAGTCAGTCTGTTTCCATTAGCCCAAGCAAAATGATACCTACCCCAGGGCCACATCACAAAAAGAGAAAAGACATAACCTTGCATGTGTTAAGATCCAATTTTAAAAATTCAATTACTTACCAGATCCTATAGTTAATACTCGGGAAGAGCCATTTTACTATAAAATGCGATACCTTTACTATTCCAAAAGCCAGTACAAGGAAACCATCAAGTAAATATCATAGCTACAGTTTCTAAACAGTGACATGTTACTCTCCTACATACAAATTTAGGCTGCAAAAAGGAACTTTGAGGCATAAGCCTGTTTAAATTGCTAGTTCATAATCTTTGAAAACGGATGATAACATGCTCACTTACATTAATAGATTCTATTTGTCCAAATTCTTCAAACAAATTGGTTAAATCCTGCTGTGTAGCCTTCTTGTCTACTTGACCTACCCAAAGAGTAGTACTGCAAACTGTCCGGAGAAACATTCATGTTAATTAAAATATCAAATTTTTGCTTATAAAATACTCTATACCATGGATTTAAAAGGCTCTACAATTACAGAGAAATCACTGATCAAAAGTAGGAATTGCAACTCTTATTACTCATTATATAGCAATCAAGTGAATTAACAAAAAGGTTAAAAGACACTATACAGATATTTATTAGAACTATTTGCCTTTTTTTTAATTAATGAAAACAGTTGCTTAAAAAGAGAGGGAAAAAAATTTGCAGCTTATTACAGCTATCTTAAACTGCAAAAGTATGACTTGTAAAAGAAACAATCATTTCTACTCTCAATGTTCCATAAAACACATCTGTAGGATTTGAAGTCAGACTTAACAAAGTAAGACTAAATGCTAAGGGGCTAAATATGTATTTTGAAACATATATGTATTATAAAAGAAAATTAACTGCCGTACTGTGCACTACACTGTCACTTGGAAGAAACGGAAGCTGTACTTTTGCTTTACTTTGGAGAACACATAAGATTTTTGCTGTGACTGTGCTAACCACAATGTTTTCTAGCATCTTCCGTTTGTATAAAAAAAATCCTTTAGAGTTCCACAACAAATACTGATATGCTTTTTTTATGCTTGTTGCTGATATGCTTTTAAATTATATAAATTATTATAGTCCCTCCCCTCCTCCCCCCAAATTCAACATATATAACAACAACCTGGAAAGACAAACTTGCTTGAGGCCCACCACTTAGCTGAAGATATCCATGATTAAGGTTTAATGACTGGCCTCATTTCACATATTCAGCAAACTATCCAACATTTGTATCGCACACTTTAACCTGACTCTTATCAGGATACCAATATTTAACTTAAGCTCCAGTCATCTTCGAATGTACCATAAAAGCCAGCATTAAAGAGAAAGCAGATTTTAATTGAGGCGCAGCTACTGCTACTCTTTGTTCAGAAGTAAAATCATCAGTGCAACAGTATAACACTTGCTTTCATCTAAGATGAAACGCTGCACCTGTGTAAGTTGTAAAAAACGCATTAGAAACAAAACTTAGAAACAAAATTTTGGTTGTTTAAATGAAATTATTCATTAATAGTACTCAATCTAGACTTTTATTTCCATCAAAAGGTATAGCCTTTTCCCCTGAATTACTAAATTATTAAAACAGTAAGTGGCTGCTACTTACCACTTAGAGTTTTTGACCGTATAGGAGGTAATCCTTTTTTCTGACGTTCCTTTTCCCTTTCCCTAGCCCTTCTTTCACTGGAGTATGACCGAGATGACTTTCTCTTCCTTTCTCTTGATCTCGAGCGTGAACGTTTTCTGTGTTTACGCTTACGAGAACCAGATCGTGATCTAGACCTTCGTTTTCTTGGTGACCTACAAAATACTGATTTCAGTGTGCTGAGACGGACCAAAAAAAAAAAATTAATTGCTGTTTTCTCTTAACTACAAACTTAAAGCACGATACAGGCATTTCCTTAACGTGTACTCAAACTGTTTCAAGAATTAAACTCACTGCCATTACCGCGAGGAACAGAACATATAGCCTGAGTCTTAAGCAAAACAAACAAAAAACCAAAACACATTCAAAGAGTCTCACAGCTTCTGTTTTTCTGGCACAGACAACCTGTTCAACTGGTTAGCTTTAGTTAGTTATTTTTGTTATCAGAGCAGGTCTTAAAAATTAAAGTAGGCCATACGTATGCAAATCAAACTGCCATATAAAAAGTCTTCGCCTCGTGTACTACCTTTTTTCATTGGTAAAACTGCTCATGACAGTTTTGGAAAATACAGAATTGAGAATGACAACCACAAGCATCAACTTGGTTTCTGAAAAACTTTATCTACTTAATCTAAGTTCATTAAGAACCTTGAACGAGATCTTGAACGCGTTCTTGATCTTGAACGAACTGTTGATTTCTTTTCTTCTTGTTCAAAAATCTCCTCTTCAGCCATATCCTGTCCTTCATCTATATCCATGTCCTGAGGTCACACATAATAAGACGTTCAGTAACATTTAATAAACATACTCACAATATATACCAGCATGTGAAAAAATGGACCCATTGTACTAATTTTGAAATCGCCTCATTACTATGTGTTTTCTTTTATACTTCCATAACCAAATTTAAAATAGTTTTACCTGTTGTTGAATATCCATTGAATCATCTACATTTGTTTCCACTTCTAAAAACTGCTGTTGACTGCTCCCTTGTGAAGGTGATGCAGAGTGCTCTGAGCCAAAATTTCCTTCTGGATTTTCCTCAGGGCTTGCCTGAATAACAAATAATAATAAATCATAAAAAGCCTCATAATTCAAATTGCTTATTATGTCAAAATATAAACTTACACGAAATAATTGTTCAAATATTTCTGAGAAACAGTTTATCAAGTGTCTCTTATTTTCCCAATTCCAATTACTGTTGGGCAATTATCTGCTGAGAACTACAAGCTGAATCAGGTGTCACTCCACTTCATTTTATGTATTGTCATAAAATAAGTAATTTTGAAAGACTTCAATATTCCTGACTATATAAAATATTACTGTTTTTTTGTTGAATCAAAAAGCAAAGTACACTATTTGTTGCTTCATTTGGCTAGCTGGAAAATAAAAACTGACAGGACAAACAATAGCAATGGCAGGCACGTACACAGCAACACTCAAAGATACCCATTGCTCATCTGTGCACATGCATTAATAAATCATATTTTGTTACAAGTAAAATGAAAATATTCACAGTATCAACTGAACTAGAAAAACATTTACATTTAGTTCCAGCCTTTCATACATTGTGTGATTTAAGACGATAAATGACTACAGGATAAAGGAGGCTGCTGTGTCATTTATGTCAGTGTGTCAATTATAAGCAACCTAACAAAACGGGCAGTTCTGAAAAAGCCCAAAACTAAATATGTAATTTTAAAACATAAAACACTAAAGGTGTTGGTGATTTGTGATAAAAGGAAAAAAGCGTAATACCCTGTTTACAAGTACTGAGTTGAAAGTATAGATCTAGATTATATATCTGGAAGATACAAAGGCACACAGGGGAATGAAAGCTGGAAAACTTTTATAAGTAATTTTAAACCTATAATCCAATATTACATGTAAACGTTTCATCAATTTTTATTATATTTTCACTTTAATCAAAAACGTGTTAGGCACTCTATCTGATAGGAGAATGAATGGCAGAATGTTCGCAGAAAGGCATGTAGTACCAAGTTTTTCTGTTGTTATCTTCCTGTTTTTAAAAAGCTTATAATCACAGCTTGCAGTTCTTTAAAAAAATTCTTTCTACTACAATTTGCTTAATGTATTTGCCTGGTTACACCATCCATTTGCTTCATTTCATTTTCTTTATAGACAATGTTCTTCAATTATCTCTTTCCTGATATCAGTTTCTATATTACTTGCTGCTCCTTCTGTCTCTTTTGTCTTCCTTCTCTCCCTCTGCTATTTAATGTTTAACAATTTTGTTTAGTGAAATACTCTTTCCTCCTCTTTCCCCTAATCTTTCTCACTGATGCTTAAACACGGAACTAAAGAAAACCTTCCTTATAACTTGCTGCAGTGATTACTGAGGAGCTCCAACAGAAACTTATATCTTTTAGCTGCAATCAGGGTAAAAATGAAACTTGCCCTCCATACTGACCGGACAAGAAGCCGAGGGGCCCTGAAGGGAAACAAATTCTGGAAGAACACTTGGAATACAAGGTCAGATATTGAGGAGTGAGTCATATGAACACTCTACACACAGATGTACTCTAATTTAATTTCATAGATGAAATCCAATTTAAACTCTGATTCTACTTTTTTCAAGAGAAATTATTTTACAATAAAGGTAGGTAATCAGCATTTTCATTTACAAGTTAGATAGTTACTTTTAAATAAGTCACATCAAAAGCTCCTAAAACAGATACACCTTGCAAAGTTATATTCCTATACATTTTTATATGGTTAAGGCCAGAAATTGCTAGGTCATCCACCTATATCAAAAACTACTCAGTTTGTAGCTATGTTGTGCAAACTTTCTCAGCTACTGCACTTATATGAGAAAGGAAAATGAAATCTAGTAAAAATAACATTACCGATTTTCCAAACAATTAAAAACTCAAAAGTCATACATTCAAAAGTCACAAGACGTTTTTGCGTGAAAGGTGAGCGACACCACCTTTGCACAGGTTAAAAAAATGGGTGTTTGTTAAGTTGGTGGTCCCTTACATTTTCTTCCAGTCTAACATTTCTACTATTCTGTGAAATTGCATCCAAATACTTTATGGAAAGTCCACTCTATACCTAGCCAGTATCAAGACAGCACAAACATTTTATTTGTTAGTGGGATCAAGAACTATGATCAGGAGGATTAGGATCAGGAGGAGGAAAGAGCAGCTAAACAGAAAGGACTGCCTTCAGAAGAATAAACCAATTTACTTCATTGTACAGTAAAGAGGGCAAAATTCACATAGTTAAGAAGGAAACCTGGGCTGGGGCTGCCTCGACCATCAGTTCTTAATTATTAACTTCACAGGAAATACATGACTTTAATATATTCTTTAGCTCAGACTATTCAACAGAATGAGATATTTATCAGCCATGACTTAAAGCCAGGAAGGGGAAAGTTAAGGTATACTGCACTCTGCTATTTCTATCCTCTTGTTGGTTCTGTAGCAGCACCTTGCACACTGCTCTCCCTTCACAGATAGCAGCATGTCCCCTTCAGTGCTCATTTCCTTCTTTACAACAGCAGGAAAAAAAAAATCCTTTTTTCTTATATAAGAGCTGAATTACCAAAGCATAGTCAGCCTGTAACTCAACTGAAGGGTACTCTTTCAAAACATTAGCATAAAGTACACCTCACACATTTGGTTGTCTTAATTTTTTCTACTTTACGTACTTTCTTCTGCTTATTCCACTTACTTTGCAAGTTTCTGTCAGATGATCAGCTACCGAGAAAGACTCTCATTGTAACAGAGGTGGCAGAAACAAGACAAATTTCTTTGTCCTGCAGCAAAATATGCATTTTTATCGGTGGAGAACATCATAATTATGACAACCACAAGATGGAGTTCTTACCTTTGGAGGCTGCTGTTGCTCCAGAAGCTGTTGTCTGAGATGTTCTAAGTTTTGTTGCTGTAGTTGTTCAGCTAGCTGATGAAAAAGTGAGTTGTTCACAGATTCTGGTACTAAAGGCCTAAAATGAAATAATTTTAATAATCCCAGTTTTTCTTTTGGTTTAAACAACTGGTAAACAAACCTTCATAACTGAGTTTCAAGTTGAACTAAAAAGGTAAAATAATGAAGATAATGTATCTAATATTGTCTTTAGTTGTCATCATTATCACATTACAGCTTTAAAAATAACTAGCAATGCAAAGCATGTGTTAACTTTAAGATGAAGTCATCAAAACTTCTGGCACACAGACTTATACCAAAAAGTTTAAAAAAGTATACCAGTCTCATCTAATTCAGTGAAGTGTCTTTTCTCTTCCTATTGTTTTAGTATACTTATGCTCCGAAAGCAAGATTTTGCTTTACTATTGAATATTTATGTTCAATTTAGCGTTTTCCATAAGAAACATAGCTTGATCTTACAGTTGGGAAGTTGGAGTTTCCTTTTTAGGCTCTTCATTTTGTTCAGATTCTTCTCCAAAATCAAACCTGTCCATCAGCTTCTAGGAGAAAGCAAAATAAGCATTAGTGAGTATTCCTTATAAAGCATGTCCTTCAGTTTGTATTTACTTTTTCAAAAGAAAGATGTTCTTTTTTCTGAATTGAAAAAAAGAACCTGAGCTGAAAATTAAATATCATACTGGTAGCATTACCAAACACTTCAAAGCATCAAATCCCCCGTCTTGGCCACGGTTTTCTTGAGGTCTGGCTGCTGTTCCAAGTAAAACTCTGTCCTGTCCATAGTAAACAACAGCTAGTTCGGGTGAACGCTTAAAAAAAGATTAATTATACGCAAAGATACCTTTATTTAGAAGGAATTGCTACAAAGAATCAATCTATTCAATCCTTTGCCAACTAGTAAACTGCTCTGCTCACATACAGAGAAGAGCAACAGCATGATTATTTCCTAAAGAATTACGGTACTTTCATACATACATGTCATTTAAACAATGTGCATTCCTTCAAATATACTGCTCCTTATAAACAACCTCTCACATCGTCTAGAAAGAAGCAAGCAAACAGTTATCATTTGAGAAGAAGAAGCCTCCAAAGGCATAAAAAGCAAGGGATCTGCTGGGGGAAAAAAAGCTGGATAAACTTGCTGTTTTATCTGTAAAGATGTCTAAGTTGTAGTTCTGCTGAACAAACAATTTTGTTTTGCCTTTTTTTTTTTTCCTTTTTAAACAGCCCAGAAGCATTTCATTAGCATTCTACTTTCCTTAAGGCAAAACTAACGAATAAAGATGAAGAAATATAACAAACGTAACTTCTCACTGAAATTGTGTTTTTTCAATAACTGTGCATTGAACACAGCAGTGGTATCAACCACATGTCCACATACCTTTACACCCTGGAATTTTTCTGAAAAGCAGAGTTAACACTATACTACAAACTAACATAACTTGTTCTCAGAACAGTGGTTTCACAGAAGACAAACTGAGAGGAGAACACAGGCCAGTCATTTGGAAATATCAGGGCAAAAAACTCTCATGTAACAAGTCATTGTGTTTCAGTAGCCTTTCTTCTTTTTCAGGGTGCTCTATATTCTCAACTAAAACAGTTCAGCAAGAACAACAAAGTATAAGTTGACTGAGAGACTCTGCTCAATCAAGAATTTTTGGAACTATTTTTCCAATGAAATAATCTAAAATACATGAAGTACAAGAAGTAGCAATAGGAGAACCTGAACAGAGACTTCCTGAAAGCAGGACTGAATATATCTTTGAGAAAACACAGCAGAGACGCAGACCACCAAGCTCATGGGAGAAGGAATGCTAAAATCCTGAACAACTTGGCACCACACATACCTCATTTTATCAACTAATCCATTTAAACCTTAAGAGAAAGAGGTCTTCTTTTTTCATTCACTTCCTATTGTTAGAATTTTATTTCCATCTGCAAAATGCTGCTTCTCTGAACTACAGTATGCATTTAAGAAAAATGCCCAATCTCATCTATGAACAGTCATTAACGGCTATACAATTTCCATCATGACAAAGTAGAAAGGAAAAAAACAGAATATTTACTATTTAAATATTAATCACCTAAGGAAAGGATCAAATGGAAAGAAGTCAACAACTAACATGTATTTAGATAAACTGGTACCAAAGAAAATCAAAGAACTTCAAGGCAAGGTAAACAAATGTGCAGCATGGTTTCCATTTAAATATGATTGTCTTAAATATAAAATAGTAGATAGAAAAGCGAAAGATTTGAACTAAAATACCTTAATTTTAAAATAAATCCTAATAGAATATCCAAAGTGCTCGTAGAATACAGAAAAATAAATTAAAGGCAAATGAAACATTGGGATACTTAGCATACACATATAAAACTATAGAAAATTCCATGAGTGCTACATCTGTTACTTTAACTACCTAAGAATAGAATGTGTTCAGAAAAAGCAATGGGGATGATTAATGATATGAAAAAAAGCTTTTTTATTACAAAAGAAACAAACAAAATGATTCTGAAGGATTAGGATTATTCTCCTTAGAAATAAAAAAATAATAAAAGCAATAGGACATAAAGGTATAGGTGAGGCTCATCAAGCACTGCCCTTTACCATAACACACACATAAGGTCATCCAGCAAAATTAGGAATTAACCATATGTGAGGTTGACAAAATAATTTTGCACATAATGCTCATTAACTTGTGCAACGTACTACTACAAGATAGTATGGAGGCTCAAGAGCTTGAAAACAAAGAAAAAGGATGTCAAGAACTACCAAATTCATTAAAATTAGAGATCTAAAAAAAGAAAATGGGTACTTACGTATTCAACAGTAACATTTTTCAGTGATATTTATATTTGTTGTTTAATTTACTGTCACTGCACCATGGAATCAGAACTAAGCTTCAAAGTTTTCTTTATATCACCATGTTTACTGTTTATATATCTTAAAACCTGTTTTTTTTTTTAATGTTTGCCAGCTCAGAACGTTTGCCACACCCTCCTGGACACTGCCTTCAATCATTACAGTCTATCCTGCACTCTCTACACTAAACAATTGTGAGAGCCTTTTCAGTCTCTTCTGCGGAAACTATTCAATATTTCTAATGACTGTTTTCATGAATTTCTAGATTCTTTCATTTGGCTGCTGCATCTTTCTTAAGGTTTTTCAGTATTAGTCACTTTATCTTAGGTAAGAATACTTCATCAAGTTCTGTTAGATCAAAATCTCTTTACTCCTCCTTTCTTTATATATCTTAGAATCCCAGGATCATTCAGGTTGGAAGGCACCTCAAGAGGTCTCACCAATCCCCTGCTCAAAGCAGGGTCAGCTGTGAGCTCAGAATGGGTCACTCAGGGCTGTATCCAGTCAGGTCTTGAAAACTTCCTAGGACAGAGACAACAGCTCCCCAGGGTAACCTGTCCTACTGCTTGACTGTCCTCATGGGGGGAAAAGGTTTTCGTTGTAACCAGTCTGAACCTCTTCTGTTTCAACTTCTGCGTCCTGTCTCTTGTTCTCCTGCCATGCTCCTGCAGAGCCTTGCTCCACCTTCTTGTTGGTCTCCCTGTAGCGCGAGGGGGCTGCTGTGAGGTTCCTCCCCCCGACAAAAGCCATCTCTTCCCCTGGTTGAACAAGCTCAGCTCCCTCAGCCTCTCCTCACTGGCTCAGTGCTCCAGTCCCGACCATCTTGGGGGACCTCTACTGACCTCACTCCAGTTTGTCTTCTCTCCTGTCCTGGAAGGTCCAAAGCTGGATATGCTACTGTAGATGCAGCCCAATGAGTACTCATTGAAGGGGGATGATCACTTCCCTCAACCTCCTGGATGCACTCCTGTTCCTACAAGCCCAAGGTGCTGCTGGCCCTCTTTGCAGCCAGGACACCCTACGGGCACGGGCTCAGCTCCCTGTCTGCCAAAGCCATTGGGGCCTTCCCAACAGAGCTGCATGCCCAACCTGCCTTGCTGCAAGGGGCTCTGCCTTCTCACGTGCAGCACCTTGCACTTGGCCTTGCTGAATTTCATGTCGAGGTCTCCCGGGATGGCAGCTCTGCCCTCAAGTATATCAACAGGTCCCCCCAAGTCTGGGGTTGTCTGCAAGCCTGATGAGAACGTACTCTGTTGCCTCCTCCAACTCTTTCACCAAGATATTAAACAGGACATGTTCCAGGATAGATCCTTGTGGTACTCCACTTGCTACTGACCTAGAGGTAAAGGATGAGCCATCAACCACTATCCTCTCAGCCTGATTATCCAGCTCATTTTTTTTTAATCTATCCAGCAGTCTACCCATGCAAGCTGCAATGTCCTAACTTGGATACACCAACATTGTGGGAGAGAATGTCAAAAGTCCTGTTAAAGTCAAGGTAAATGACATCCACTGCTCTCCCCTCATCCACAAATTCAGTCATTCAACTATCATATAAGGCAATCAGATCGGTTAGGTGTGATTTGCCCTCGGTAAACCTATGCTGACTGTTCCCAAACACCTTCTCCTCCTTCACATGCCCAGAAACATGTCCCAGGAGGACTGGCTCCAAGAATCTAAGTGAGGCTGACCAGCTTGTACTTCCCCAGGTTCACCTTTCAGCCTTTTTTGAAGATGGCTGCAACATTTGTCCTTTTCCAGTTGTCAGTGAACTTCCTCAGTCTCCACTTACTTGCTTGCTTTTTGGAAAAGCAGCTAGAAGTTGTTACAATTGTTGCTGAGCACTAACAAGTAATTTTGATTATATTATGTAAAATAATGTTCAATTATTCTGTAACCAGAAGAGTGCACAACCTGCTCACTTCTTCTTTCACAACGTATGTTAAATAGGACTCATGAACTTTGACCTTTAGGTGCTGCCTGCTGACCACACACCTCAGTTCTTCAAAGTCCTTTTGTCTTCACAAGATAGATCTTAGTCTACAGACTTTTCTACCTCCTTCCTCCAGATAATTAAATGCACATATCTCCTGTGAAATACTTCAATTCATCATATTATTTACTTTATTTTTCAGTCTCTTACGAAGAACTGTTAAAGCAGAAGGCTTTCTGAGAAGACCAAAAAGGTATATTTACTGGTTCTCTTTCATTTTCTGTTTTGACACAGAATTGTTCAGACAAAATTTTCACTTACAGAAGTTATATTTGTTGTTAAAACAAGGGTCATTTGTCTATAACTCCACTGTTATAAATAAGACAGCGGTTGCCATCTTATTTTCTTCTAAAGACAAGAACATTGTATCCCCTAACTCCAGAGATCAAGCAACTGTATGTTTGGTACTCAAACAAAAGTTGATGACAATCTAGTGTTGCCATTTCTTGTTCTGTTCTGACATCCACTTTTTGATACCTGTATCTCTGGCAGTATCTTCACATGTAATTGAGGCATTTTGTGTTAAATGTAAAACCACTGTTGCAAGTTCTCTAAAATGCATAGTAAAACCTTGGAACTTTAGAGCATCCTAGGAGATGGCTAACAAAGATTTGGAGTGAGGAAGCAACTCATTAAAAAACCCACTTAATAGTGGCGTTTTTTTGCACGCTCTCAAACACTGATGTAGATGCATTCTAGATACATTCTATAAAACACTGCCTTTTTAACAATTCTGCTATTAGGGCTGCCATAATTAGTAGAAAAATTATTAATCATTATATATCGAAATGGAAAAAAAAGAGTCTAGTAAATAGACTAGACCCATATCATTATGACTCAGGCTCTTCAGCTATTGGGGAGAAGGGGTTGAGTTGCAGATATTAGTGCTGAGAAACTACTAAAAGGAAAGCAAGGAAAATAACTATCCCCTGAACTTATCACTGCAAAATTTAACACTGCCTATTAGCACCTTATAGGCTTCCAGAATACCCAGATTTGCAAATCCTCAAGCCATGGAAAAAGGAGAAAATAGGTAGGGAACACTAATGTTATAAAAAAGAGGAAACATTCTAAAAATACATGCTCTCCCTCTGCAATGCAGCCTAAACAATCTCTGAGTAAAGCCTCAACGGACTAATAAGATATACATAACCACATTATTCACAGAGATGCTACAAAACACTGAACAAGAAACTTGAAATGCATTAAAACCTAACACTACTCCAATGCAGAAATGAGGTACAGATCACATGTGGTAAACACAAGGACTCTTCTCCAGCTTACAAGAACAACAAATCAACACTATAAGCCCAACAAGAGCTTGCAATTTATCGCATTTCCACTCTTGCACAAGAATTCCTTCTGCAACACTTACCTTCAAAGTCCCAGAAATCACAATCGTGTACATTCACTCTGCTGACAACTTTCATGACAAAAACACTCCTGTATACTATTACTGCCATAAACTAAAGAACTTCAGGCTGAACTCTCATAAGGTACTTAAACATCTCATCACAATGCCAACTCCTTCAATTTGCTCCAGTTAACCTCTTCAACATTCAAGAGAGCTGCACCTACCAGTACACCTATCCACATAAATGCTGGAATTCAAGTCTGTGGAACAAAAACACAATACAACACTGTGTTCTTAATTGTTTTTTGTACCTACGTATTAAGGCAGTCCCTATTACTGATCCATTCATTCCCTGTGATTATAATCTATTCTAGTAGATGGTTACAGTTGCACTGCAGCATTAGTAAAGGCCATTTTTTTGTCCTGCTTATTTTTACAGCTGTATTACTTTCATTAGTAATGAGGATTCTGTTATTTCAAAGATTTCAGTTTAGCTCACCAACTTCTAGGAATTTATGAAAAGCTGTCCTGCAAAAAAAAAAAAAAAAAAGTTGTTTTGCCTCTCTGACTTCCTAATTACAGAGATTATCAACTCTCAAGCTGTTTTTTTTTTTTTTTTTGCAAAGATATTAGAACAATATATTTCTGTACCTGGAGTAGACGTTCTTCCTTCATAGTCTAGCTGATATTCAGCTGCTACTACTGTAATTGCCAGCATGGTTATTCCCACCTGGCCTTGAACTGTATTAGTTTTCCTCTTGGATTCCTGCATTCTTACTTTTATTTATTTTTAATATAGACACATACTTTGCAATACACACAAAATTACTTAAATGGCTTATTTTTTGTTTTTGACATCCTTATAGAAGTGTAACTTGGCTAGTTTTAACTACAATCATGAATTTCCTTCTTCATTTACTATCACTCTGTGGCTAAAATTAATAATTTTCTTGGCACTTACAGCATAAGAAAATTACAAGTCCAATAACCCTGTAATCTTCTTGGAAAATAGGGTATACACATTTCTGCATGTTTCCCTTTCATTATACCTTAAGAAATTATTTCCTACTTTATGTCATATACACAGGAAGTGGAGGACACAAGACACATTGAATTCTCCTCTATGACTAGCTAATCTGAGATTCTACTCCCTGCTGTGCTACATGGGGGCGGTGGGGCACACTTAATGGCTTTACTTTGCCAGTTTAAATCCTTCTTCAATATAAACGTTATCTAGCTTTAAACTCATACAAGACTATGTATTTTCACTGATATAATTCTCTCTACACAATTTTTTGAATTGTGCAAGATACAGCACTTTATAGTACATTCACATATTTTTAAAGCTTCTAAATTTATACAGTGAAATCC